CCGTACACTTTCTGGACCTCCTCTTTGTAGACACCTGACCACCTCCATTCTTGACCATTCCAGAAAATATCGTGTTGGTAAAACTACCACCCAATATGTCCTTCACCCTGAAGTGTTTCCTTCTTCCTCTCTTTACACTCTAGGGCAGACCAGGCCCCAGCCCGCTTTCCCAAATCCAGCCAAGGACCTGATAACACTACGGTGCCAGGGGCTGGGCCTGGCTGGGTGGGGCCTGCTGGGACAGCACCCTCATTCTGACCAGAACCCCTCGCTCTTTCTTCCCCACAGACCCTCCAAAGGAAGTGCTGCTGAAGGTGAAGCCCACTCGGGTGGCTGTGGGGGGATCCTTCACCATCGAGTGCTGGGTGCCCAATGTGGCACCTCTTGAGAGCCTCACTCTCACCCTGCTCCGTGGCAAGGAGGCCATGCACAACAAGACCTTTAGGACGATGGCACTTGCCCCCCAAGAGGCCACAGTCACACATAATGCCACAGCTCACAAGGAAGACGGCCGCCACAACTTCTCCTGCCGGGCAGAGCTGGACCTGCGGTCTCTTGGTGGGGACATCATTCACGGTGTCTCAGAGCCCCAGACGCTCAAGGTCTATGGTGAGGGAGAGTCCCCAGAAGGAGGGGGTGGGAGGGAGCATTCATCTCCCGTTCCTTAGGGGAAGAAAAAACCTTCACCACGTTCTCTGCCAGCTCAGGGGCCAGGCGCCCAGGGACCCCACACTTAATCCCAGGGGGTTCCCTCTTGCTCTCTGTCTTCCCCGAAGCTCTCTCCACGTGCCCAGTTTGGACCCCAACTAGTTGCTTGACCATTAGTGACCAGTGTGACCTTGACCAAGTCAACCTCCTCTCTCTGGCCATGGCCCCTGTCTACATCTAGAGGTTTGGCCCTAAGATCCCCTGGAGCTCTGCCATTCTGTGACCCTTGATGGCCAAGGTGTTCCCTGTCTTCAGAGTTTGGTAGAAGCTCACTCAGTTCTGGCCAGGGAAGGGCTTGGTCTGGACCACGCCACTGTCCAGGCCATGGTGTCCAGCAACCATGTGCTGGGGGACATCTGCCCTCATAGTCTCACAGAGGGCTGGCTGGTAGCCTGGACCCTGGCCCACCTTTCCCCTAGGTATTACACCATTAGCCGCTCACGTCTGCAACACGGGTGACTGCGAGATGGGGGAGGGCCGGGTGGGCGACAAGCACACCTCTGGGGCCCTAGCGCCTGGGACCGGAAGACTTCTAAGACCGCTGCCCCCTCCTGCCTCCCCAGAGCCCATGCCAGACAACCAGATGGTCGTCATCATCACAGTGGTGTCCGTGCTGCTGTTCCTGTTTGTGACATCTATCCTCCTGTGCTTTGTCTTCGGCCAGCATTGGCGCCAGAGGCAGATGGGCGCCTACAGGGTACAAGGTGCTTAAAGGGGCCTGAGTCGGGCCTACTGGGCACAGCCTACATGAGTGGCACGGTCACCACCACGGCAGCCACTGGAAGTCAGCGTGGCTCCTCAGGGTTGTGGTCCAGCCCTGGCTGCAGGACTCTAAGGAGCAGCAGAGGACTTTGGGACCATTTCCTCTTCTAGTCTAAATATAAATACCTGGACTTAACCCTGGGCCTCAGTGTCTTCTCCTGGGATAGAACTCAGCAGCTGGGAAGGGTACCCACCAGGCCCAGACTTCTCTCTCCAAATGTCTCCTAAGTCTCCCTCCGCCCACTCATTCACAGGGGCCTTCTAGAGCGCCAGCCAGCCCACACCCTGGGGTGCCCGCCTGCTGACCAGCCCGGGCACCAGACACCCATTCTCACGGGGCCCCGAGTGACTAACTTCTCCTGAGGGAGGGTGGGGCAGAGAGACGTTCTCTTCCTTCTTGGCCCTCTGGGACCTCAGGCCACTCCCACTGGGAGCGGGACAGGGCTCTGACTTCTCCTTTCTGCCACAAGAACCAGCTTCCTGGGGTGAGGGTGGGGCCCAAGGGAACTGGCTCAGCTCCAGGACCTTTGAGCCAGGCCTCTCCCCCATCACTCTGGGCCTTCAGAGAGCCTCGGACAACAAAAGCAGTCCTCCCCTCACCTGCTCCATCATTAGGCCATCGACACCCCCCCAGCCCTAGCCATCCCAGAGAGGGGTGAGTGGAGGAGGTCGAGGGAGGGCTCTGGGTCCCAGGCCACGCCCTGTGGCTTCCCAGCCCTGGACGATGCTTAGATGGACTCTTATCCGGGGCAGATATCAGGTCAGTCCAAGGTCTCAATGGGGTGAAGAGTGTATTGATTCACCCAGGAGAGAGCCTGGCTGCAGCTGAGGGAGGAGAAGGGCTGCTGGGCATGGGTGCAGAGTCACAGGCACTACAGGGGCACGTAAGGGCTCCAGGGCTCTTTCCAGCCCTGCGGTGAAGCTGGCAGGGTCCCAGGGCTGGCATCTGTCCTCATGGTAGGCTCTCAGCATCATAGTAGTCTGGGGAGAGAACAGCACCTTCGCCTTGGCTCCCTTCCTGCCTCACTGGACCCCAAGGAAGAAAAGGGAAAGGGACAGGCCAGTTGCCTACAGTAGTGGTGGTAGGGGCTCCCTGTCCCCCAAACGGCCCTCCTGGCCTCCTGATCCATCCCCGGCCTGGGCTTGGGCCCCACTGCCCACCCACTCTGCCCCTACCTGAAGCCGGGGGTACATCCGCACCCACAGTCCCTGTGGCACTGGGGGGTGGGGGCGGGGGGATGGCTCTCCTGAGATGGAGAAAAGAAAGACATCCCCCCCCCATCAGATACTCACCCCCACGTATCTCCACCCCACCCTCAGCCCCTGGTGAGCTCTTCCAGCCCAGCCCCAGAGCAGGGCCCTGGCAATGCTCAGATCCCCAAGCCTCACTTACGACCCCCTTCTCCCAGAGGCAGGAGGGTGGTGCTGAATCCTGGACGTGTCCTGCAAGTAAGGCTGATGTGGGGGCGGGGAAAGAAAAGGGACTGGCCAGGGTAGCAGGGGACCCAGACTGGGCATCGGGCAGGGGAGGTAGTGGTGGTGGAACACCAAAGGCCCTTCCTCCTGGACTTCCTTCTCCTCCTCCTCCTCATATTCCTCTTGTTGACCTTCCAGGTAGACCTGGGGATTGTGGGAACGGGGGAGGAGAGATGATGATACCAGATCCAGCTCTCCCTACCCCCACTCCTCTGTTCCTCTAATTTCTCATAAAATGGAGCATTGTCTACATGCAAGCAAGCCACCTTGGAGACATTTATTTCTTATTTTTCAGGAGGGAAAACTGAGGCTCAAAGAGGCTGAACAACTTATTTAAGGTCACCCAGCTAATAAGTGGCTGAACAGAGCCTGGAAGCTTCCAGGTATGACTGCAGAGCTGGGTCAGCAGTCCGGTGACCCGCCCCTGGCTTTGCCCCCAACCCTGGCCCCACCTGTGCCTCATCAGGGAGGTGGGGTATTCATCCCGGGGACCCCCTGAGGGACGGGGCGTGAGGAACAGCAGCAGGTCCCGCCAGCCTGGACGCTGGACACAACCTGACCTCCTCCAAGCGTCAAAAGACTACCTGGCTTTCAAGGGCGCGTTCTAAGGTAACCTGCTCCTCCAAGGAGCCTTTCCCCAACCAGGTGTGCACTCAGGCCTTGTACCTCTCCCTGTGACAGCCACCGCCAGAGCTGCCTTGTCTTCACAGTCATTCGTTTATTCTTTCACTTGTTCAACAAATATCACTTGAGCCCCTAATAAGTATCAGGCCCCCTGCAGACCCAGGGTACAGTGGTTCCTGTCCTCCCGGGCCTGTATTCTTGTGGTGGATGCCCTGCAGGGAGACCTTGAAAACAAGACCTGGGTGGTCCGGATTTGGGGATCCCCACCAGATGGAGGCTTCTGGCATGGGAGTCTGGCACATAAGGGATGCCACAGGGGCCCAGCCAGGTCCACTGCACTGTTGCCTGATTCTTTTTCTCAAGGATCCACCCCCTAGATGGATCCCCACCCTTGGACTCGCAGGCCAGGCGAACGGCCCTGGTGGCCCACCTCCCGCTCACGCACCTGCGGGTGGGGGTGGGGCGGAGCCGGCCCTGGGTGGAGCGCTGCTGCCACCAGGCGACTCAGCAGCAGCTGGTGCATCTGCGCGTTCTGCAGCAACATCAGTTCCAGCAGGTCTGGGGCGGAGGAGCTCAGCGGGCCTATGCCAGGTCGCCCACTGCCCACGGCCCCAGGGCCTTTCCCCCCCCCCCCCCCCCCCCCCCCCCCCCCCCCCCCCCCGATCTCCCAACGCCCAGCCCAGGACCGCGCAGGAGGGATGTGCCGCGAGGAAGCCTAGAGAATGTGCGAGGCAGAGTGGGGTACACGGCGGTGAGCCCGGAGTCTCACCTTCCTTCATTCGGCCCGGCTGCGGGGGCGGAGGTGGGGCGGCCCATGCGAGCGGCTGCAGGACGGTCACCCAGGGCTGGGGGGAGCGGGAGACTCAGCCAGGCCAGGCGGGCAAGGGATGGGGGACCCTCACCCCCCCGCCGGGACCCCTCCCCGCCCCCCCCCCGAGTTGCTCCCTAACCCCTCAGGGGCCGCGTTCTTCTCCCCGCGCGCCCACGGCCTCCCCCTTCCCTGAGTCTCTTCCTCTGCGGCTCACCCACCCCACTTCCTCCAGGGACGTCTCCCCAGCCAGCCAACCTCAAAGGCCGGCTCAGCCCTCACCGTCGGGGCTGCACTCTGTGATGGGAGCTGACCCCAGCTTCCTCCGCTGCGGAAGGCCATGCTGGTTTCCGCGGGTCCGGGTTACCTAGGCGACGTGGGCGACGCGAAACTCTCCTTCCACGCATGCGCAGGTCCCTCCCCGGCCCCAGCGCTCCGGGCGTGTTAGGCTCTCCCACAGGAGGTGTCGCCTCTGAGGGATGCCCACCTCCAACCTGCGTCGGTTCCCCGGGCATCGCATCTTGCTCCTCCCTGTACCTCTCACCCTTGTGCACCTCCAATACCTAGCCTGGGGGCTCGTGTTTGTTGAGTGAATGAGTGAGGGGCTGGGGAGACTGGCCCGTAGAGAATTCTGTAGGAGCGGACTTGGCGGAGAGAGGCAGGTGAGTGAGGAGGCAGAGGATGTGTTTCACTCTGAATCAGAGGGGCGTCCTTCGGGCTGGGAGTGGTTTCTGGAGCAGACCAAGGAAGCGAACATCAACCAAGTTCACAGAAAAGACTGCGCCCTGGCCAGAAACAGGTGGCTGGCCCCTGGACTCCCCCCTTGTGGCCGTTTGCTCCCTCATTCCTGGCTGCTGCTTTACAGAGATGGAGAACCCCAAGGAGTTCAGCACCAGTGCCCCCATTATTGTCCCACATCCTGGAAAAATTACCAAAGCATGCATTCTTTTGACAGGAAGTTATCAAGGTCTTCTTTGCTTCAGAACAGGTGAGGGGAGAGATCTATTTCGGCAGCTGTGACCATCCTAAGATAGGCCCTGAGCAGCAGTCAAGGAAAATCCAGACAGGAAGCTGGGATTAGCACCCCTTGGGCTGCCCTTCCCCCACCCTCTACTTCTGTTCAGCTCCTCTTCCTGGCACTCCTGGTGTCTAGAACCAGAAAGACCATTCTCGCCTCCTCCTTTGTGCTTTAGTCCCGGGGAGGGGGGGCCTGTGGACCGTGCATTAGCTGTGAGTCTTATAGCTTCCACGGCCATCAACAAGCTGACGTCAGGCAATGTAGTGACAGGCCCTGGGGAGTGGGATGGACACAGAGGTGCATCTTTCCATCTGTACCCTCATCGCAGTTAGAGGGGCAAAACCAATCCTCGTGCTTACCACCAGCAAACCTTGATCAAGGAGGTGCCTGTGTGTGCAAGGCGCCCTTCTGGACACTGGAGATACACTAGTATATTCCTGCTGGTTTTAGCATTGCTGGGAAGTGGAAAATGTATTCATGAAGTGAAAACAAAAATACAAGACTGTGTATGGGGCACCTGGGTGGGTCAATCGGTTAAGTGTTCGACTTCAGCTCAGGTTATGATCTCATTGTTCATGGGATCTGCGCTGACAGCGTGGAGCCTGCTTGGGATTCTCTCTCTCCTCCTCTCTCTCTGCCTCTCCCCCACTTGCGCCCCCTCCCTCAAAATAAATTAATAAACTTAAGAAAGATACAAGACTGTGCAAAGTCCCCTGTGGGTGAGACATATAAGAAGGGGTCATGGGGCGCCTGGGTGGCTTAGTCAGTTAAGTGTCTGACTTCAGCTCAGGTCATGATCTCACGGCTTGTGGGTTTGAGCCCCCGCATGTGACTCTGTGCTGACAGCTCAGAGCCTAGAGCCTGCCTCGGATGCTGTGTCTCCCTCTCTCTCTGCCCCTCCCCTGCTCTCTCTCTCTCTCTCTCTCTCAAAAATAAATAAACATTAAAACAATATTTTTAAAAGAAGGGGTCTTAAAAAGATGAATTGGTCACTGAAGGATAGGATTCTGAAGTGGAGGAACTTTGGATGGGGCCAAGCAGTGTGAGAGATAGGGCAGCCCGGGTTGGGGACACAGATTGAACAAAGGCACAGTTGCAAGAATAGACAAGGCCTGAAATGCGCCAGTGGTCACACTCTCTGGCTGTGGTGGAGGAGCTGGGCAGAGAGAAGTTCCAGCGGCCCAGGCAGATGCAGGTCATACTCGCAGGCTGAATGGTGGAGTTCAGGCTGAACTATGTGGGTAGTGGGGAGCTCTTGGTGAGTTTCGAGCAGGAGAGAAATAGGGCAGTGACGTGTGCACAGGCATGTTTTAGGAAGATTCATCTTGTTCCTCCCATCTTTGTTAATGTCAACCAGACTCAGGAAGAACAAATGTCTGATGGGGATGTATCCTCCCAAAGGTATACCGTTGGTTCCTGCACTCACTTTCCGTGTTTCCATCTGGGGACATTTTCTGGCCACAAGTGAGGCAGGCCGGAAGTCATCCCAGAGGCAACCCTGAAGCATCAAGGGAGAGCAGTTGATGGTAAATTCCCCAGCCTGCTGGCCTCCGGGGGACAACTCCGGGGGGGATCGTCCCCGATGTTTTTCAGTAGTCCCTGTGGCTTTATGTCTCAGTTGTCCCAGTGATGATCTGCTCACCAACAAACACACACTTCACTGATTTTTTCCTCTGTCATTTCTCCACTCCCTCACAGTGCTTCCTGGGATCCCCTTCCAAAGAAACTACTTGCTCCCAAATCCTTGTCTCAGGCTCTGCTTTGGAGGGAATCCAAACTATGACCCTAACCTCCCACTTTCTCCGTGTCTGCCCCCAGTCTGCTGAAAACTGGAGAAAGCAATTCTGGTAGCTCTATGTTAAAATTTGTGTTCGGTGACGTCAGATGCAGGAATAGACATGGAGGAAAATTCATCTGGGAGTATAACAGCCAATGGATTCAACGGAGGCAAAGCTGGAGGCAGGGAGGCCAGCGGGAGGCCATCACCCTCAGCCCTCTAAAAGAAGCCCAGAGCGGGCTGGAGGTGGCTGTGGAAGACAGTCAGGAATTGGTGATTATTTCAGATACAAGATCGCATGTTAACCACACACGAAACTTGTATTTTGGAAGGCAGGGCCGAGATAAACCCTATCTGGCTTCTGTATTCAAGCAGAGCTCTTCATCAAAGGAAACAGAAACATTTGCCAGTTGAAGAATGGAAAAACCACACACGCTTATCTGCCAGAGCTAGTTTGCTTATAGACGATCTAACATTAGTCCAACAGTGGAGGTGACTTTCCATACTCGCCCTGCCTCCTACCACCTTCTTTGAGGCATCGAACGCTCCACCTACTTCCTCTTCATTTTGTCTCGGCAAGGACTCTTGTTTGTATCTTTGCCTTGTTGCTTTATGACTTTTGGGTTTTGTGTGTGTGTGTGTGTGTGTGTGTGTGTGTGTCCCACTGAAACATGTACCAAAGTCCTCCCTGTTGCCTTGGTAAATCTGTATCTGGGAATAAACCAAACAGGGAAAAAGGTTTCTACTAAAATGTGTTTGTCACAGTGTTATTTTTAAGAGTCGAAGATTGAACACATCCAGCGTCCTTTAGTAAGGGAATGGCTATATAAATGAAGGTAATTCACTCAAAGGAAGAGTGTGCAGTCATTAGAAAACCATGAAAAATGGGCTCCCTCATCTCCTCCTCCGATGGAAATGGAGAGAAAAGGGAACTTTTAAGAATTTGGGTTGGGTGGGGCTGCCTGGGTGGCTCAGTCCGTTAAGCATCTGACTTCAGCTCAGGTCATAATCTCATGGTTTGTGGGTTCGAGCCCCACACCAGGCTCTGTGCTTTCGGTGCAGAGCCTGCTTGGGATTCTCTCTTCCTCTCTCTGTCCCTCCCCCACTTACACATGCTCGCCCTCTCTGTCTCAAAATAAATAAGCTTTAAAAAAAAAAGAATTTGGGTGGAAATTTCAGTGTTTCTTTTTGGTACAGATGAGGAAGTGCTAAGCAGAGGCAGAAAACCCAGCAACAGACACTTTTCTTGGGCCCCCTTTCTAGCGAGGCACTAACTGGAAGGAGCTAGTTATGACTACTGGCTATGTGGGGAGAAGCCTTGAAAATATCACAGGAAAGAAATTCCATTTTTCTGCTTAGAGGCTCTATGCTGTTTGTCCAAATCATGGCTACCCTTGTGAGATGCGTGTGTGTGTGGTTTTGTCTGACAGGCCCCTGGTGGCACTTTGGAGACTTATAAATGTGTAGATGGCAGCAGTGGGATGCATTGTGAAGGGAACTTGCTTTCAAGGTCCCACCTCACAGGAATAGAACTGTGGGGTGGAGTCCAGAGCCCTCCCCTCCTTGACTCCCGGAATTGGGGTGTCACCAACCACAGGGGAGCACCTGCTGAAGCTCCCAGAAAGTCTCCCTGACTGAAGACTCAGGGAGAGAACTGACTGTTCAGGCAGGGGTGAGGGGTGGGGAGTAGTGGCCAGGACAGGGTATGACAGGGTGGGTTCCTGTGGGTCACGGTGGGATTTTCTTTTTTGTTGTTTTTTTAAAATTTATTTATTTACCTTGAGAGAGAGAGAGAGAGAGAGAGAGCGAGCATGGGCAGGGGAGGGGCAGAGAGGAGAATCCCAAGCAGGCTTTGTGACGTCAGCATGGAGCCCGACACGGGGCTCGATCCTAGGACCCTGGGATCATGACCTGAGCCAAAATCAAGAGTCGGATGCTCAACCGACTGAGCTACCCAAGTGCCCCAGAGTGGCATTTTTCTGAAAGGTGCTTCTAAGAATTCTTTTGTCTGTGGGCACCTGATACTCAGCCTAAACCAGCCTAAGGAAAAGGGACGCTTTTTGGCTCATGTGATGGGGCAGTGACATAGCTGCTCTGTAGTGTCACTGACCCAGGGGTCAAGCAGTGTCTTCAGGCCCCTCTCTCATCCCCCCCCCCCCCCCCCGCCTCGGGTGTGGTGTTCTTGTTGGCTCGTCCTACAGATAGGCCCTTCCGCTAGGTGGGAAATACTCCTCAGGCACCTTCTGACTTGTTACTTCAGTTACCCTAGACAAACTCAGAGAATCCTGAGGAGAGAGAGTTCATCTTTCTTTTGTATCAATGCATATAACTCCCCAGGAAGGACTACGATTGGCCACACTTGCGCCACATATCCAGCTTTTGGACCGGCCACTGTGGCCAAGAGGATCGCCCAGATCGGGGTGACATGGCCATTTCCATGGCCAGGGTGGGGTCATCGTCCTGAGATCAGCGGCCACCCCAGAATGACCTATTTGGAGTAGGGGAGGAGCAGTCCCCCAAAGGAAGGAGGAATGCTGTTATCAAGAGAGGGAGGCATTCATTCCCCTTGGGCTGTGGGGAAAAGTCATATTTCACATACAGCTTTGGTCTTCCAATCAGCCTTATTCCTAGTCCAAATGACACCTTGTGCAAGTCAGAAAAATTAGCCTTGTCCTCTGGACAGTTTGCTACCATCTGCTAGACAATTATCATCTAAAATACATGAATCTATAATGATTGCAAACGTGATTGGTGCCCAGAATTGTACAGTAGACAACCCGTACAACTGAATGCAGCAGCCCTCCCCTCATATATTACAATTCCCTTCAATTACTTCAATCCCTCATTAAAGTCGTTCTTACCCCCACAGAGCTCTTGGCAGGGCCCAGGCAGAGACCAAAAGGGAGGAGCCATATAAGGGAATGACAGCTGCCTGCCCACCACCTCTCCTCAGTGCCCACGGACAGGGAGGACTGTGCTACCAAGGGGACACTAGCCAGCAGCAAAGCAAACTGGAGCCATAGCAGGGCCCTGAGTGATGTCAGGGACCCCAAGGAACAGTTCTGGGGAGACAACTTGGCAAGGATGAGACAAAACGTTTGCTTTTCCTCTGAGCGCTAGAAGAAGAAGATCCTTGCAAAGAAAAGGCAGGGGTGACCAGACACCTGGATTACGTTAGCAACAAAACTACACGGCAAATGTGTGTCAGGAAAGGTGAGCGAGCAGAGCAGGATAAGAACCATGCACAGAGAGCACCAACGCTCACACCTGTGGGTTTGGAAGACGAACCTCTGAGGGTGTGAAGTGACTCACCTGGGGCGAGATGCGGGAAGTCCGGGCATAGCAGGAACTTTGCAAGCCTCAGCCAGGCCTCGCCTTCAGGGAGGGGCTCCACGAGGCTGCGGGCTGTGTCCACAGAGGGTCTCTGGGGGGAGAGAGGCCACCCAACCTCCAGGACTGAGGGGGACCACTCCTCAGGCCTCCCTGCGCCCCTCACAAAGGCCACACTCTGTCCTGGGCTCGGCGCAACTGGAGAGCTGGCTGCCGGAAAAGATGCTTCAGGGATGGTTGTGGGAGAGTGGGTGGGGGGAGCATCGCGGGGAGCTTTGGGGTTCTCTCGTCAGCCTGGGGCAGGCGCTTGAGCTGTGAGATGGGTCATTTCACAACAGCTCCACTAGGGGTCACCACAGACCCAGAAAGGAGGGGGGAGGGGGGCTGAACCAATCTCAACCTGCCCCCCACCCTCTGTCCCCTCCCCACGTTCTGAGGGACAGATGTCTAGCCAGTGGGATGGCGGGGGTGGGGGGGTGGGTAGTGGCGGTGGAGAAATGACCCTTGAGACTGCTGTGTTGTCCAGCTAAGAGCTGTGTGTGTGTGTGCGTGTGCATGTATGTGTGTGTGTGTTTGGAGGGATGTGTGTGTGAGGGATGTGAGGGATGTGTGTATGTGTGCTGTGTTTCGATGTGTGTGTATTTGGGTGTGGGGGGACGTGGATGTACAGATAGGCAGACACTTGATGAAAGTCTCACGATCACAGGTGCACACGGGTGGCCCTGGGTACGCGTGAACAGGAGTGTGGACGTAGACAACAGTACGGATGTAAGTAACATGCGTGGAAATGCGTGAGTGCATGAGCGTGACCGTGGATATGGGTGTGTGCACACACAGACGGACACTTGATAAAAGTTCACGCCCAGGGTATGCGACGTTTGTGTTCACCCGGCTGTAAGTGTACAAGTACATGCACGAGCCTGGTGTGAGTGTGGGAGTGTGTCTTCGTGAGCAGTAAGCCCGTTCGGGAACAGGTGTAACACGCAGTGCAAGTGTTTGTGTGCACGTGTGGAGGGCGATCTACACGTATGGCTGAGCGTGTGTGAGTGTGGCATTTGCGTGGGGAGGGGGCACACCCACAGTGCGTACCGGAGCAAGTGTGCTTGTGCCCCCTGGGGCTCCTGGCAGTGAGTGTGAAAGGAGACTGGCACAGAGAACGAGCCCTGTAAGCTCGTCAAGGGTGGGAAAGGACCTGCGTGAGCGGGCTCATACGCGTGCCCCGCTGCGTGTGCGCACGGGCGTGTGCGTGTGCACATGTGTGAGCGGGAGAGTGTGCGGCCGGCCCAGGCTGAGCCTGAGCACACCCGGTGAGGGAAGCGCGGCCCAGGCTCCCACCTGAAGATTGGCCCAGTCCTCAGGTTTCACTCATGACCCTGTGACATCAGCGGCAGCAGCTGTCCCCGCCGCCCGGCCCCCCGGCCAAGTCCCCCAGAGTCCCAGCCCCAGCCGGAGGTGGGCACGGCACTCCAGGCTCGGCTGCAAGCGCTCCGCTCCTGTCCGGCAGTGAGTACCGCACCCCGCCCCGGCCGGCACCCCAAGGGCAGGCCACCCCAAGGAGCGGGGCACCCTGGCCCTGTGCCCAGCTGGCTTTAAGGAAGTCACCACTTCGCTCCGGGCACCGCTGTCCTCCTGCCCACACCGGGCCCTGCTCTGCCCCGGCCTGTGCCTTGACCCTCTGTCCCCAAACTTGCCTCTCGTGGCCCCGTCCTCTGCCCTCTGTGCCCCTGGCTGGCTGTCTTTGCTCTGAGCAAGGGTCCTTGCCCTGGTCACAAATGGCCCAGTGGCGAAGGCTCGGCTCCAGACGAGCACAGGGTGACCCCGGCTGAGTTTCTTCAGGAGGGGAGAGCAGAGGAGCCAAAACAGCCTGTTCACAGTGGCGGCTCAGCCGGTTCACAGTGGCTTGGAAGGCAGGGCTGTGGGGGGAGGAGAGCGGCGGGAGGCCGGGTGGGGGGTGGTGGCGGCTCCTTTGCTCTGCTGAAACAGGAATCTTCGAGATGCCAGCAGAGGACACGTCTCGGGCTGTACCGCCCAGGCTCTGCCCACCGCCCTGGCCTCTCCCGGCCGGCCCGTGGCGCGCCAGGCTCCCTCCCTAGACAAGTGAGGAAGGCAGAAAGCCTGGCGCCAGGGGAAGAAGATGGGGCCACGGCACTGAGGGGATTCTGGGGGATTCGGGAGGGGACTCGGGGGCCACAAGGCCGGTGCCAGGGCAGAACACAGCCCCCCTCCCTCTCCCTGCTGGTAGAGCCAGGAACTGGGGGCACAGGGAGGAGGGTGGGTAGTGGCTAGTGGAAGAGGCGGGAAGGTCTGAGCAGAGGTAGGAGAAGGGGTTTTGGAGGAGTGTGGTGGTGCTTATCAGAGGGGGGCATTTGTTCAAAAGATTGGGAGGTCCCTGTCCAGAGGGCCCGGGATTGGGGGGGGGGGGGCGTGGAGGCTGCTTGAGGCTTTCCAAGAAGGCGCTGGTGTGGCACAGAAGGCCTGAGCCCTTTCCCACTCCACCCAGTTAAGTACTGTGTCTCGCTGCCCCTCCCCCTGCTTGGGCACAGGGCCAGGTCCTGGTGAGGCCTCATGATGCCCCAGGGTGGGGAGGTGACCCTCCAGGTGGATACTAAACATGTCCCCCTCCCACCCATAACACTGGCAGCGGGGGGCCTGCACAGAAATTAATCACCCCAGAACCTGGGAAGGTTAGAGCCCACAGGAGCCTTGAAGGCTGTTTAATGTAGCCTGTCTGGATGAATCAGCTTGAGGACAGTTAGCTAGAGACAAGTTTGGGGCCTGTCTGGTTAGTCTGGAGAGGGGAAGGGGCTGACAGAGAGATGGGGAAGAGCCAGTGGTGGGCATTGTTGTCCCTCATCTATGACCAAGGCCACGACTGCCCCCAGGGCCCTGAGCTGAGCTAAGGAGACCCCTAGCGGTGGCAATGACCAGACACAGGTGGGGCAGGGCTGGGTTCGGGGGTAGAGAAACACTGGTTCTCCCAGGACCCTCCAGATTCTTCTGGGGTCATCCCCAGTCCCCTGCCCATGACCGGCAGCCTTACTCCATATGGCCGTGTTGTGGACAGTTGTGGTTATCACACTAGTATTTGGAGCCACATCACGTTGTGTGGGCGATGCAGGGACCCAGACATAAAACACAATGGCACATTTCCATCTGCATCCCGGGCTTCTCTCAGGGGATCGGCTGGGATTTTTAGTGTGATTTTGGGAAGATAATTCCCAGGTGGCCCTGTCCTAGCCCGGCTCTGCTTGTCCTATCTGGTTGGGAATCTGCCTGGAGTGGGGGCTCAGGACTCAGGGTCACCTTCCTAGCCATAGGCTGGTCTGAGTGTCAAGGGCTGCCTAGCAGGCTTCCCTCACCAGGTTCTCTGGGCCCCAACCCCAGGCCCAGGCCAAGGGGAAGACCCGAGTTCGATGCTGAAGGCACAAAACTCCTGGTCGGATGATGGGAGTGGTCCTGACAAAGTCCCTGCCTCCGGAGGCAACTCTGGCCACCAGAATAGAGAAAAGTGTAGATATTGGCGGGGAGGGGAGGGGGTGGCCCAACTGGGGGTGGAGTTCAGAGAAGTCTCCCCGGGCCAGGCATAGCCAGAGAGGAGAGAAGGGATTGGACTTCACAGAGAGGAGTAGAAAGGCTCTCTCCAGGTGACAGGAAAGAGATGCACTGAGTGGAAATGAAAACTCTGAGGCCTGAGGTCCCCCGAGAGCAGGTAGGGAGAAGCGAGGGGATGGAGCAGGTGGATGTCAACAACCAGGGTACAGGTCATACAAACCTTCAGTTCCTTGACTCCTCTTGCAGGGAAGGTTCAGGCTCAGAGGGTCGTCACTCAGCCGAGGCACACAGCTAGCAAGTGGCACCGATGCTGGGGCAGGGCTGGAGGTGGGGGGCAGAGCTGGCCCCTGAGACTGGGTGGGGGGGGAAGCGGGGGCAGGGGGTTTCCAGTGGGCAGCCCTCGGGCTGGGGCAGGTGCCGGGCCTCCTGCAGGGGCCCCCAGCTCTGCAGTGGCAGACAGAGACAGGCCATGGCCCCTAGTGGCTCCTGCAGGGGGTGTTTATGGGGCTGGGGGAATCCCAATTCCTTCCACCTCCACCACCCCTGCCCCAGGCCTTTCATGTGCTCTGGCCCCCATTCTGCCTCATCAGCAACAGCTATTTTTATTCCCTGCAGTTTTCAGTCAACAGCCATGATGGGGGGGGGGGATGGGGAAGCAGGAGGAGCAGGAGGGGCTTGAGGAGCAGAGGGGGAGGGGGTGACAGAGAAGCCTCCGGACCCCTGGAAGGGCAGGCCGCCCCTTCCCCTCCGGTCTTGCTGCCCTCTGCCAGGAGCCCTAGCATGAACAGAAGGTGCAAATCCACAATGGTCACCAGACACCACTCCGTTTTTTAACTGGTTTGTGAAACCAGGTGCCCCTGCCCCCCTCCCCATCCCCACCAGGTAGGTGCTAGAAGGTCATGGTCCAGTTTAGACTTGGGTGGTGATATAGCTCAGTGCTTAAGAGCCAAGGGCTCTTTCGAGAGCCCCAGGAGCCGGGTTTCCAGTCTACGGCCTAAATAACCTCTGGCAAGTTACTTACTTTCTCCGTGCCTCAGTTTCCTCATCTGTCCAATGGAGTGATAATAGTAGGACCGTGGTGAGGATTAAATGAGCTCATGAATGTGAGGTGCCCAGAACAATGCTTGGCAAGTAGTCAGGTCTCCGTAAGTGTTAACTAGTAGTTAATTATCACAGCTGTTACCAGGCTGTGACTCTGAAATCAATGTGGCCTCTTGGGGGTGGGGGTGGGGGTGGGGGGGTTAACAAAAGGAGGGGAGGAGCCACAAAAGGTGGAGAAGGTGGGTCTGCCTGGCAGGAAGCAGGACGACCCTGTCCAGCTCTGGGCACATAGTTGGGAGGGGTTATATATATATTTTTTTCCTATCTGGTCTCCCTCAGGTGAGGGAGACCCTTTTATAAAATGGATGGCAGACCCCCTTCCAAGAGGGTCTGCGGTTGATAGACGTTTGCCGTGAGGACTGTGAAACCAAAAGCAAAACAGAGTCCCTTTGCCTTATATTTTAGTAAGATCTGCTTGTGACTCTGGCCTTTTGGGAAGCCTGTAAGTTCTAGATTGGCCCAGTTTGGGAGAAAGAACTTTTATCAGGGTAGCTGGTGGCAAAACAGCCCTGGAGCAGTTTCTGGGGGAAAGCAAAGTTCTCGGAGGTAGTGA